AATATTATTATTGTTATTATTAATATTATTATTGTTAGTATTATTACTATTATCGATATTATTAATATTAATATTAATATTATTATTGTTATTATTATTGTTATTATTATTATTATTGTTATTATTGTTATTATCACTGGTATTATTATGATTGTTATTGCTATTATTACTGTTGTTGTAGATTACGTAATGCAATATGTTAGTACTAATTGACTACCATACACCCGCCTCAGTTCTTTGATTACAGTACGACAGATAGTTGGATAAATTGCTATAATTCATCCATTATTGGACATTTGAAGATATTCGAGACTCGTATAAACAGATCGAAAAGTTGTGGTAAAGACAACAGAGCGAGGATATTGAATGTATCCGTAAGAGTGTGAAATACAAAGAGATTGTGGGGTAAAAAAGAAGATTTTGTGGTGAAGGAGATGATGTTCTGATAGAGATTCGAGACAGGCAAATGGGACGTTCAAAAGATAGAGAGAGGATTTGGGTTATTAAATGAGTTGTGTCTAATGAGGTGTGTGATGTAATTGAGGAAGGAATGGTCGTTAAAACGCGATCGAAGGGTTAAATTTGCAGTTAAATTAAGATTTGATTGGTCTTAATTAGTGGCATAATAATGCAGTCAGTGATCCGTCCACATCCACATCCACAATACAAATTGACATCGAGTTGTAACGGAACCGCAGGCGAGTTTACTCAAAAATTGTTGTCTTCATCAAGAAGGCACAATCACGACATCAGGAAATCTGCGTTTCTTTGCATCCAAATGGGCTTCATGTGTACAATTTTTCGGAATTTGACGAATCCTCGGGAACCGGTAATATTAGAAGTCATCACGCGTATTGATAGGGTCTGAGCGTGTACTTGGAGTTCTGTCTAGGTAGTGATAAGCTTTTCAGCGGATGAAGCAGCAAATAAAACCTTTTCAGTTAATGATATGACTAATTAGAAAAGTGGCTTATTGGAATGGAGCTGATAAACTAATCATATCAATAGTCGTAGTGATAATCAAAGCCATTATGTCACAATGATAATGATGCTAGCCATGAATTGCCTATAATGTACTTTAGTAGTTATTTTACTAGTTATGAATGATTGCGCAGTAAATTAGTAAAAATATTAACGTGACTGAAAATGAGTATATAAATGAGTATAAATATAAAAGTCATAGCATAACTTAGAGTCAGCATTAATAGCATAAGAACGAACAAATAATGTAATCAACATTATTCATCTTTGCTACATTCTAATAAATATCTTCAGTCATCGGAAACATTTTCAATGGATTATTAATCTGGAA